CCAGATGGATCCATGGCCTGATTCCTCATGACTGAGGAATTGACAAATGGGGGAAGGGTGTTGCAACTGGCCTAGTAGTCCCTTAGAATGGATGTCTATGGTTTCTTTTAAATAAACATAGAAATTGACCCTTCCATTCTTTAAAACTTGAGAAAGTTATATTTGTCTTATCTGAGATCCTTCCTCAGGAAACCAACCAGCAGGCCTTCTAAATAGTATCAAGGAACAGAGACTCACTAGATCAGGGCATCTGGACAGTAAGACCCGACACCCCTCATCCATCATGACTGCCTCTGGGAGCACCAGCTTCCTGTTGACCAATTCTTTTTCCTTAGCCCTCCTAATTCCTGCTTTTCCACACATGGTTACATTTCTTCCCTGCTATGTAAACCCCCAATTTTAGTCTGTTGAGGACACAGATTTGAGAACAATCTGTTCTCCCTAGTGCAGCACCCGATTAAAGCCTTCTTCCCCGGCAGCGCCCATCGTCTCACTGATTGGCTTTCTGTGCGGTAAGCAGCAGGATCTAGACCGAACCCCTGGCGTTTTGGTGACATGTTCATTTCCAAACCCACTCAAATATTTTTAATTTCTAAAAAACTTTCTATTTGAAAGATAAATGTGTAAATAATACATTCCTGATCAGCTATGAACAGATGAATAAACAAGTAAGTCAGTGAAGGATGTCCGTGCCCAGTTTAAAGGTTGTGACCTTAATCAGTTTCAAAAATGGAGACCGATCAGTAAACCTAAAAAGTTATGAAATTATCCTGAGTCTTAAACCAAAAATTCTATTTTCTGTGTAACCTTACACTTGGAAGAAAAGTTTAATTTCTTTCAAGGCTGGGCACTAAGAGTCCTGGACAGTGAGACCCACCTGCCCTCAAACACTCGATGCCACCTGAGTGACAACTGGCAAGGCTGGTGGCCAGAGAGAGCCGTCAGCTCTCACCCCATCAACACCCTGTGAATATGGTAAAGTGCTGAAACGATGGACGATGGACGAGTGTTTTTACACAACTGAAGAAGAAAAAATCTACAAGCAAATTTCACAGCCAAGTGGACAGATCCCCATCATGTGTCTGCATAATGGGCCCCCTATTCTGGGGGCACCCAAAGGTGGCCTGGTGCCAGTTCGTGATCCATCTGGAATCTCCACAGCCACTGTGGACAGCAGTCATTTCTTGAGTGTGGATGGGTGGATGCACTGAATGGAAAATTGTCATGGGGTTAGTCTAGATTTTAAATTAGAGAAGTGACTGTAGGGCCCTTCAAAACACAAAGAGAAAGAACGACAACAAGGGTTCAGGCAAAGGGATGAAACACAACAGACAATGTCATGTTAAAGTGAACAGGAAACGCCGCAGTGAGCCCACGCTTGCCGCCATACCTCCATCTCGCCCTGTCCCCTGTGCAGCCTAAGGAGGCGCTCATGGACTGACAGAGCTGCCAGGGAAGCCTGGCCTCACTCCAGATGCCTCTGAGAAGAGGCGCAGTCGTGGGCAGTGACTGATTCCATTCCAGAGCAGTGGAAATCCAGGAAGGAAGCCCTTCCAGTAGCTGTGCTGTGGGGAAGGCTGCGGGAATCTGGGGCCAGGCACGGGGATGCCCACTGCCCAGGGGGACAGGTGGGAAAAGCAGAGTCGTTTGAACGAGCAAAGCCCATAAAGCCCTGAGTCCCCGGGGAAACTCAGCAGAAACACTAAACTTTCTTCGAAGAACTAGCAGGCTAATTTCTTCCGGAGCCACATGCCCTGTGAAGCTGCTTGCTCACGGGTGGGCGTGGCCTCAGAGGGAGACGCCATCCTCTGGGAAAGGTACAGGCTGTGTCTCTTAGCAGGCACAGGACTCACACTTCTTAAGAAAGAAAATATAAAATCAGATTCCCCTTCAAAGATTTTTTTCTCAGCTAAATATTTTGCCGGCTGGATCTGTTGTGGTAAAGATAAAATCTCAGCACTAAAACCCTTTGCCTCCGCTGCTGGTGTCCTTGTGATGCTGAGCCTGGGGTGAAAGGGGGCCCGCCTCCTCCTGAACACAAGTCTCCCCTTTCCAAGGGGACTTCAGGACGCGCTTCCCCTGAGTTTGCTTCAACACTGGGAAAACATTATACAGATCGCGAAATACTCTAGAAACTAGCACAGCGTCCAAATCCTGTCTGGGGACATGGGAGGAACAGCGGGCTGTGGGATCCCCCACTCCGGCACCCCATCACCAACACAGCCCAGTGGTCGCCTGCAAGAGCCCACCCGCTCTTCCGCGCCGAGGTGGAGCGAGGAGCTGCCCGGCCAGTGCCTGAGAGTCTGAGCTCATCCCGGCGCCCGCCCGCAGAGGCTCCTACCTGCGGGGGAAAGCAGATGTCGGTCCTCGCCCCGTGCTCCAGCAGCAGCCTCACCCCATCCACGTCCCCGGCCTTCACCGCGAGGAACAGGACCTGCATGGGCACGCGGCACAAGTTGGGATCCGCGCCTCGGCGCAGCAGCAGCTTAATGGTCTGCCAGCGCTTCCTCTGCCTGAAAAAGAGGGCACACTTGTGGGCCCCTGGAGGGCAGGCACCTGCACTGCGCCCAGGACGGGGCTATGCCAGCAACGAGACTGGGCAGGGGCTTGTAGGGAGTATGTGTGTGCCGCAACCACACACACACCCACCACACCACACAGCGCACACCTACAACACACACATACACGGAGACACACCACACAACTACACAAGCCACACCAGAGCGCACACCACACACACACACACACACGGCACACACAGCACACCACACAGCACATTCACAGCACACAACCACACAGCTGTACACAACCCCACACACAAGCCACGCCAGAGCACACACACACCACACAACCACACACAGCACACCACACACAAGCCACACCAGAGCACACACACCACAGTATACACAGCACACATACACCAACCACACAGCACACCACAGCACACCACACACAAGCCACACAGAGCACACACACCACAGTATACACACCACACACAAGCCAGAGCACACACACCACAGTATACACACCACAAACACACAAGCCACACAGAGCACACACACCACAGTACACACACAGCACACCATACACTCAAACCACACACACCACTCACACCACAAAGACACAAACACACAGGCACACACACCTCTGAGGGGTCACTGAGCAAAAGGCTGGCCAGCTCAGGGGGAAGCTGTGCCTCCGGAGGGTACTTGCGCCTCAGGAGAGGCTGGGGCCAGGTGGGTGGGGATTGTGCAGCCATGCAGGGCTGAGGGAGAAGCTCAAGGGAGGAGGAAGGGGCTGGGGGTAGGGGGCCCAGGTGGCAGCGGGAATGACCGTGCGTGCAGGGCAGGTGTAGCACCCAGCCAAGCTCGCTGACCCTGCAGCAGGCACAGAATCATAGCTGCGGGAACTAGATTGGCCTTGAGCAGCGGCCCCCAGCGTCCAGACCCCTATCCAGACCCTTACCACTCTGAAGCCCGCAGAACTGTGTTCATGTGGGTGCTGGCTCTCCTTGTCTGTCACTACTAGGTAAAGCTCAAAAACTGTCAAAATGTGTCCAGAATGCATTCCTTCTGGTGGGTACTTGGTCCTGCTGACTTCAAGAATGGAGCCACAAACCTGCCATGAGTGTTACAGCTCTTAAAGATGGTGGGTCTGGAGTTTGTTCCTTCAGATGTGTCCAGTTTCTTCCTTTCCGTGAGTTCATGGTCTCACTGACTTCAACAATAAAGCCTGGACCTTCACAGCGAGTGTTACAGCTCTTAAAGGTGGTGCAGACCCAAACAGCAAAATTTATTGTTCAAAGAAAAAAGCTTCCACAGCATGCAACGTGACCTAAGGAGGTTGCCGCTGCTGGCTGGGGAAAAGAGGGCCGGGAGGGGGGTGGACTGTGGCCAGCTTTTATTCGCTTATTTGGCCCTGGCCACATCCTGCTGATTGGTCCATTTTACAGAGCACTGATTGGTCCATTTCACAGAGTGCTGATTGGTGCATTTACATTTCTTTAGCTAGACACAGTGCTGATTGGTGCGATTTTACAGAGTGCTGATTGGCACGTTAGAATCCTTTAGCTAGACACAGAGCGCTGATTGGTGCATTTACAATCCTTTAGCTAGACATAAAAGCTCTCCAAGGCCCCGCCCAACCCAGAAGCTAGGCTGGCTTCACCTCTCAATAACCGCTCACCAACTTGTTAACCATAACAAACCCACTGCATGTTACCAATAAGTAATACTGTCACAAAAAGTTATTTTACAAAGCAAAACCAGTTAGGGAGAAGGGTGGCACTGTTTTCCACCTTTGCTGGATTCCCCTATCTGCTCTGCTGCAGCCTTGGTGGAAGTGAGTGGAGACCCAGCTTCCCCCAGGTATGCGGCTGGATGAAGGAGTATTTGAGCAGCCTTTCTGATCATCATGGTCTTCCTGTTTGAACTACCCAGGCTGGGGGCGGTGAGCTAGCTACCCGGTGGAGCTGGACACTCATCAACCAGCCTTCCACACCTGGTTGCACTGAAGCCCACGGGCCCATCTCTCACTGTCAATGGATCTTCATCCACCTGGCGATGGTTCGACATCAGAACTTGGCTGTGTGGCCAAGTTCTGCTATGCCATCTCACCCGAAAAACCTCTGAATACCCACGTCTCAAAGGAAGCTATGAAGGTCTTGGTGGTGGATACAAGTGTCCAAAATTCTGCTTTTCACTTGAAAATGTAAATTTCACCAGCAACAAATAGTGTCATATGTTTTCCTTAAAGCGGCAGGCTGTGTTCAGGAGAATGAACAGCCACATACCAGTGGTCATTCTTCTGATCAAAAATGGGGCAGGAGGTTAAGGAAGACACCACATTCTATTTGCTACTCTGGCCCTGGGGGAAGCGCTTCTTGCACAGAAGCGGTGTGCCTTGGTCTATGGCAGATGCACATCAGTGTCCTTCCCGTGTTTTCTGATCCAGAATATTCGAGGGGTGTATACTCAAGGAGCAAGATTTAATGCAATTCGTCATTGCTTTTCTGCTTTGTCAAAGGCATTCTTCAGTGAGACAGGCATCCCCCCAAGTGCACATCACGGTGAAGGAATACCATGCCCCCATGCAGGCTGGGCACTGCTGCCTTGTAGGCTGGGGGTTGGTGGTCTGCATTTCCCTATCTTCATACCATCCACCAATGTCAACACAAGGAGAAGGCTAACAGAGTCTCAGGGTTATCAAGAGAATCGTTTTGACCCCACAGACTCCCTGAAAGGGTCTTGGACCCCCCAGGGGTGCATGGACCACATTTTGAGACACACTGGTATAGACAGGGTGGGCAGTAGGGATGTGTGGGCTGCCCAGGCAGGTGTCACTCACATGCACCATGGCTAGGATAGGACCCCTGGACTGTGGCCCCTGCTGAGGCTCCCACAGAGACACTTCAGGCCAGTGCCAAAGGCCAAAGCAGGGCTGGGGTGGCACTGAAAACAGCCCATCACTGTGGCACCCCCACAGGCTCGGCCATGGCGTGGAGGCACCAACACAGGGATGCTCACACATTCAGACACACATCTCCGGACACAATGTCTCCCGCTGGCACACGGAAGAGACGTGGGTCTGCTGTGCGTAGGATTCAGCCCTGATGGTGGCCCTCCACCCCTGCCCCCTGGCACCAGGACCTACTCGATCATTGTCAGCGCCATCCTCCGCATGGTCCCTTTGTCGAAGCTGCTGGTGCAGAGTGAGGGCGAGGCCATCTTCAGCAAGCTGTGGGACTGGGCGCTCCTCTCCAGCATGGCCTGTGAGAGCTCGATGGAGAAGTTGCACACACACACGTTGGACTCAAAGTTCGTCTCAGTGCTGCACAGAGTGCCCCGGTCTGTGTTTCCCAGTATGTCCTCGAGCCCACTTTCCACATGGCCAAGGCTGCCCTTCACCAACGGGGAGTCCCCCTTCAGAGAGCTGCTCCTGTGGTCCACGGACTCCCCAGGCTGTCCAGTGTCCTGAGAGTGGCCGCCCTCCTGGCTGCCCAAGATGTGTGGCAGTGGCGGTGGTGTTGGCGGTGGCCTCAGCTCACAGCTACCCTGGAAAGGCACGTTCACCTCACTGTACAGAGACTCCAGGTTTGTGTCCATGAATGATGATGAAAGGATTGGAACAACTGGGAATTTTGGAGGTTCCTTTGGAAAGAACCAAAAAAGTGTCATTAGAAGAAATTGGAGTGACAACCTCATTCTAGGACCTTCTTCAGCAAGGACCAATGCCCATGGCCTAGAGCTGTCTTCAAAGCACTAGGCTGAAAAGACCAGGGCAGCTTTCCCCAAACCCTCAAAGAGGGGAAAAAAACCCTGTGAAGGTATCGCACAGAAGCCTGCACCTGACCAGGCCACACCCCAGGCTGCACGGCCCTATACATGGCTGCTGAGCTCACAAAATGTGGCCCGTCCACATCCAGGTGCTTAGGAGTGAAGGAGAGGTTGGAAAACGAAGGCAAATACCTTAATGATGCTGCTTATTGATCATACACCAACATGATTGGATTTTGAATACATTAGGCTAAATTAAATATATTATTAAAATTAATTTCACCTGTTTTACTTTTTCATGTGGCTACCTCCCAAATTTCAATTACACGTTTTATTTCTGTCACATGGCACTGCCCTTGATCTGCTTGTGTTTTGAGCCATGGTTCCCAAAGTGTGGCCCCTGGACCAGAGGCATCGTTGAAACCAGCCCAAGAGTCCCACAGATAGTTGTTTTTGGATAAACATAGAAATCGACTCTTCTGTTAAAGCTTGAAACTCATATTTGTTTTATCTGAGTTCCTTCCTCAGGAAAGGACCTTCAGGAAGCATCAGAGAGCTGAAACCCACCAGATCACCACACCAGATGTCTCCTTGCCTTGTCCTAGTTCCTGTTTTCTTACACATTGTTACATTTCTCTCCTGCTACATAAACTCCTGGTGTTAGTCAGTCAGGGAGATGGACTTGAGACTGAGTTCCCATCTCCCTGGCTGCAGCACCCGATTAAAGCCTTCTTCCTTGGCAATACTTGGCATCTCAGTGATTGGCTTTCTGTGCAGTGAGCAGCAGGACTGAGACTGAACCCCTGGTGTTTCAGTAACATCGGTACTGCCAGGAAACTGTTAGGCATGCAGATTCTCAGCCCCATCTTGGGGGCGTTGTCATGGGTGCCCACTCTCCCTCCACAGTACCCCTTTCCTGCACAGTGCTGGCAGGGCAGGTCTCGGGGCCCCAGGCTCCTATGCAAGTGACGCGTAAAGAACACATAATCACTTGGCAACTGTGGTGGAGCTCAGGGTCCCTTAAGGGATACCCAGGCTCTATCTCTCTTGCCCACTCCCTGCCTTATCTTATAACTCACCCTGTACAAGCCTGGTGCACACAGGAGGACGGAGGAGGCTCGGTGGATACTTAGAGAGACAGAGAAGATAACAGGGGACAGTTGGTGGTGCAGTGACCACCGGGGGCTGACCTGGGGCTCGGGCATGGTCCGTTCAGCAACATTGGGCTTGAAGGACTGGGCAGGGTAGTAGATGAGGAAACACATGCTGAGTGCCGTGAGACCCTCATCTGAACACCTGTTCACGTCGGCCCCACAGTCCAGGAGAAGGTTGACAATGTCATTGTGGCAGTGAGTCTGGAGGGAGATGAGGCGGGACTCAGGAGGATGCACCTGGGAAGGGTCACTGGGCGTCCTGATGCCCTCATGAAGCCACCCCATGGCAGGGCAGGAACTGGTGCTCATTCAGGAGCTTAGCAAAGGGACAAGTGTGGGACAGAGGAATGGAATGGGCACTCTGCCCCAAACCCTTCTCCACAAGACCATAAGTGTCACACTCAGCTGAGGGGGTTTCTGCTGAACGGTGAGGCACAGGTATGGACACATCAGTATCCCCATGTACCTCAGCTCTGCTCCTGCAGAGGGGGCCACAGAGGGCCACCCACATGTGTGACCCTTACAGCTAAGCTCCTGCGGGCACCAGCCAGGAGGGTGGGGGACTTACAGCAGCCGCAGCGAGCACAGTGTAGCCTTTTGCGTCCGCCACGTCGGCACTAGCAAAGTTGTCCTTCAGGATCCCACAAATCCAGTCGTGGTTCCCTTCCTCAGCCTTTAGGATCATCTCCGTGGAAAGTCGCTCTTTGGGCCCGCAGAGTGCAAAGCCACTGCGCTTCCCCTCCAGGATGGCGCCCATGTTCCAGCTGGTGTGAGCCGGCTTGTTCCTGGCAACACAACAACTTTCAGTGGTCCTAGACCAGGTTCTGCACCTCCCACGAGAAAGGGTCCAGCAGGGCCACCTCCCTCCCATGCCTCCCCTTCTTGTGGCTCAGCCCCCCACTGTTCACTCCTCAGGCATCCTGAGTGCTGGCAGCTGCACCCCCAGCTGCTCATGATCCACTAGGTTGCACATGGCGGTGTGGACATGCCACCTGGACGTCAAGATGCTTGGGCTACATGTCTGTCCCAGCAGGAATGTGCTGGCTGCGAGTACACCCATGCATCTCTCATTCATCTGGGTCACTGGGTGTTTGCTGAGAAATGGGCTGTAACAGCAAAGGTGCTGGGTAGGAAGGAGGCCAACATACATGTGGGTCCAGTCTCAGTACCAACACCCACATTCCACCCTCTGCTCGTACACTTTGGTCTGAGTAGACAACACGCATATCTCATGGCTTACCACACAACACTGATGCCTCCTGGTGTGTACACAACCTCTTTTCACAATAGAGAACCTGTGCATTACAGTTGCTTTTGTACCTAACAGTCTTCTGCCTACACAGTGCTGGCAGGGCAGGTCTCGGGGCCCCAGGCTGCTATGCAAGTGACGAGTAAAGAACACATATCACTTGGCATCTGTGGTGGAGCTCAGGGTCTCTTGGGGGATGCCCAGGCTCTATCTCTCTTGCCCACTCCCTGCCTTATCTTGTAACTCACCCTGTACAAGCCTGGTCCACACAGGAAGACCAGTTGTAACTGTCAACAATTACAAGCCCAGTTGATGTTTGCATGATGGATGGATGGATGGTTGGGTAGGTGGATGTATGTTGCATGAGTGAATTGATGGATGAATGGGTGGGTGAGTAGATGAATGGACGGGTGGGTGGGAAGATGGATGAATGGGTAGGTGGGAGGGTGGATGGATGGGCGGGTGGATGAATAGATGGATGAGTGGGTGGGTGGATGAATGGGTGCTGCATTAGTGGATTGATAGATGAATGGATGGGTGGGTAGGTGGATGCATGAATAGATTGATGGATGGATAGATGGGTAGGTGAGTGGATGAATGGGTAGGTAGGTGGGTAGATGAATGGATGGTTGGATGAATGGATGTTGCATGGGTGGGTGGGTGGATGAATGGGTAGGTAGATGGGTAGATGAAAGGATGGCTAGATGAATGGATGTTCCATGGGTGGATTGATGGATGAAGGGGTGGGTGGGTGGATGAATGTTGCATGAGTATACTGATGGATGAATGGATGGAAAGGTGGGTGAGTGGGTGAATTAATGGCTAGGTGGGTGGATAGACAAATGGATGGCTGGATGAATGGATGTTGCAAGGGTGAATTGATGGATGACTGGACTGGTAGGTGGGTGGACAAATGGGTAGGTGGGTGGGTAGATGAATGGATGGCTGTATGAATGGATATTGCATGCATGAATTGATGGATGAATGGATGGGTAGGTGGGTGGATGAATGAGTAGGTGTGTGGGTGGACTGATAGATGAATGGATGGGTGGGTGGGTGAATGGGTAGGTGGGTGGATAGATGAATGGATGGCTGGATGAATGGACGCTGCATGGGTGTATTGATGGATGACTGAATGGGTGGGTGGGTGGATGAATGGGCAGGTGGGTGGGTAGATGAATGGATGGCTGGATGAATGGATATTGCATGCATGAACTGACGGATGAATGGATGGGTGTGTGGGTAGATGAACAGATGCTTGAATGAATGGATGTTGCATGGGTGGATTGGATGGTAGGTGGGTGGGTGATTGGGTGGGTGGATGGATTGATGAATGAAAAAGCAGCCACTTATTCTCAGAAAATATGCATTCTGAAAGTTTAGTGACATCTGAGGTCAATATTTAGGAAAGGAATTAAAGTGTTCTTGAATATTTTAACTTCTAAAAATTAAACACTTCGGCCGGGCACAGTGGCTCACACCTATAATCCCAACACTTTGGGAGGCCAAGGAGGTTGGACCATGAGGTTAGGAGTTCAAGACCAGCCTGGCCAATATGGTGAAAGCCCATCTCTACTAAAAATACAAAAATTACCTGGGTGTGGCGGTGGGCGCCTGTAATCCCAGCTACTCCGGAGGCTGAGGCAAAGAACTGCTTGAACCCGGGAGCTGGAGGTTGCAGTGAACCAAGATTGCACCACTGCACTCCAGCCTGGGTGACAAAGTGAGACTCTGTGCCTCCCCACCAAAAAAATTAAACACTTTTCCTTAGGTGGTGGCTGACTTTCCTGGGGCGCTGGGTAGGGTAGGAGGGTTTTTGGAAGACCAACAGAGCAGAGCATCTTTTCATGCCATCCTTGGACAAGTCGAAGGCCTGGCTGGGCCCCAACACCACTACTGCCCTGTGCTCCCACCCTTGGCTCTCAGGCAGATCCCTTACCGTCACATAACAGTAACAACAAACCCTGCTCTCCATGCCAACCCTGAGAGGAGACTTGGCCCATGGAACACCTAGGCGCTGACGCAATCGTCGGGGCAGGGCACTAGCTACGGCCTGCACAAGGGGAAATGCACAGGGCCCAGGGCCAGGACTCACCTGCAGCTCCATGGACTCAGGAGCTTCTCCCCAGCCACATCTGCCCCAGGTTCCACACCAGCCTTGGGACTCCCCTGGCTGCATGTTCACCAATCCACCTCCTGATCACTCCTGTCCCCAAGAGTGGGCAGGTGGGATCCTGAGACCCTCATTCCCCTGCACAGACGTCCAGGGCCCCAGGGCCCAGCCTGTCTCCCAGCTCGAGCCAGCAGGGGCTTTCCCTCCCTTCATTATGGCCCACATCAGTCACTTAATGGGAGGAGTGTGTTTACGTTACCCTGAGGGAGCACCCTCAGTGGCAGCTGGCTGGGGGCCTCAGGAACCTGCCTAGGGGCAGCCTGCACAGTGCAGGGCCCTGGGGGAGGAGCAGTAGCAGACTGGTCACCTGAACTTGTAAGTTTGCTTCTGGATTTTGATCAACAAAGGGGTCTCATTGATTATGAACCAGGGTTCTCCATCGTCAACGAACGGAGGAATTTCATTGAGGAAGATGCGGGTGTCCAGCTCTTTGCGGAAAGAGCTTGTCATGGGCAGGTGGTCACAGTCAGTCGAGTAGACATACGTTTCTGGAGGCAGCATTAGGTTGTCATTCAGAAGAAACCGCTTATACTCATAGAAAAAGGGGTCCTGTTCCTCCTGCAGTCCCCACTCTGTTTTCTCCTCTTCTGAGAGGCTGATCCTGGCAGGGCTGTAGGTGAGGAAGCCGGAGAACTCAGGGTAGCTGAGGAGGGAGAAGCCACTGGGGATCTCGGTGCACAGCTTGATGAGTTGCTCCTGGAACCACAGCCCCACGTCCTGGCTGCCGTCAGGGTAGGTCTCAACGCCTGGCCCAAACCGCTGGTCCGCTTTGTACAGCCCCTGCCAAGGAAGCGCAATAGGCCGAGGAGAGATGGCACGACCCAGCTGCACGCTGTGATCAGGCTTGTAACATCAAAAGAAATCCCAAAAAAGAAAACTTTCCCAAGAAATGCATGCATTCACCCAGTCAACATCTCTGGAGGCTTAGGCTGTGCTGCCCAGGGGCTGAGGCGGACCAGCTCTCCCGAGGGACAGGAAGGAGGGCACTCCAGAGAGCACGTGGAGGGGCAAGGGGGCGGCCAGGGAGGTCTCGGTGGCCTCTGAGGTGAGGACATGATGGAGGTCTCATGGTGAAAGCATGTCAGAGACGCCAGGTGTGGGTTCAATTCAGGGAACCCAGCCCGAACACCCCGACACGCTGGGGCAGCAGTGGGTGGGGACGAAGTGTGCAGGCAGCAGGTCAGGTATGATCCACAGGAGGAGGAGGAGGAGACAGAGGAAAGGAAGAGGAGGAAGGAGGGAAGAGCAGGAGAGGAGGCCAAAGGGAAGAGGGGAGGAGGGGAGGAGGAAAGGGAAGGAGAAAGAGGGGGACGGAGGAAGAAAGGGAGCCAATCCTCGCTTCCGGGAACCCAGCATCTCCCAGGCCTTTGCATGTGGGCAGTGGAGACCACAGTGCAGGAGAGGAAGAAGGCATCCAGGAGGGCCTCACAAAACAACCAGTGAGGGGCCACTGCCAGGAGCCCAGGGCAGGGAGCACAGTCAGGGGCCTGCTGCCCAGGGGAGGCGCGTCTTCCTGAGATGGCATTGAAGGATGCCTGGAGGGCACAGTGGACAGAGGAGACAGCACAGGAAAAGGCACTGAGGCCTGCAACAGTGGGTGGCAGGGATGCTTCCCCCACTGGGGCCCGCATTTTCATCTATGAAACTCCCATCTCAGAGGTCTCCACCTGATGTAGTTTGGATCTGTGTCCCCACCCAAATCTCATGTCAAATTGTAATCCCCAGTGTTGCAGGTGGGGCCTGGTGGGAGGTGACTGTATCACAGGGGTGGCTCCTTCATGAATGGTTTAGTCCCATCCCCTTGGTGCTGCCCTCATGATAGGGCATTCTCGCGAGATCCGCTTGTTTAAAAACATGTGGCATCTCCTTCCCCACTTGCTCCTGCTCCCACCACATGATGTGCCTGCTCCCCGTTCACCTTCCACCATGACTGGAAGCTTCCTGTGGCCGTCCCAGCCACGCTTCCTGTACAGCCTGCAGAACCATGAGCCAATTACACCTCTTTTCTTTATAAATTACCCAGCCTCAGGTATTTCTTTGCAGCAACGTGAGAATGGCCTAATACACCACCCATACAACACACCCGCCTGAGCATCTCCAGCTGCAACCCCAGGCTGGGCGCTTGGGGATGTGCGGCTTCATGAGGCCCCTGCCCACCAGCAGCTTGCAGCCTGGAAGAGGAGGTAGAAAATGAAATGAAGGAAAGCGTGCTCAGGCTGGTTTTGCTCTGCAAGGGAGTTGGGCAGTGGGACTGTTTCCAGAAGAGCCTTTGGGGTGGCTCAGTGGGGTGGAGGTGGAGAGAAGTGATAGGTGAGGTTGGGCCATGGGCAGGTACCTGGCAGGTCTGGAGGGCCTGGTGGGCATAGCAAGGGGGCTGCACATTCACCTCAGGAGCTTCAGAGAGCCCCTGAGGAGGCGTAAGTCACTGGATCAGGTGGGCCAGGAAAAACTTGGGGGTAGAGCAAGAAAAGGGGGCCACGGGCAAGGAGGCAGCAGCAAGAAAAGAGTCCCCATGATTAGTGTTGAGGTCAAGGGGGCTACAACCCGGACCCCGTGGTTCTGCTTCTGGGACCCCTCGTTGTCCTGTGATCTTGCCCTGTCGCCATTTGCTTTGTGACATTGTATTACCTTGTGAAGTATGTGATCTCTGTGACCACACCCTATTCGTGCACTCCCTCCCCTTTTGAAAATCAGTAATAAAAACTTGCTGGTTTTACGGCTCGGGGAGCATCACGGATCCTGCCGACACGTGATGTCTCCCCCGGACACCCAGCTTTAATTTCTCTCTCGTGCTCTTTCCCTTTATTTCTCAACCCAGCCGAGACACTCAGGAAATAGAAAAGAACCCACGTTAAACATCGGGAGCGGGTTCTCCCGATATCTCATGGCAGCCTGAGGAATGTGAGGTTGGCTAAAGTGATGAGGCCCAGAGAGACCAGCAAGAGGCCTCAGTCAGGCCCCCACCCTGACCCTGCAGCCAAGCCCAGGGTAACCGTTTTAAGGCATTTTGTTTTTCCTTTCTTTACCTATAGTTTCCAGATTTGCTGATAAGTTACCCAAAATGTTATCACAAGTTCCGCAATGTGACCCTCACCTATTGTCTTCACGTATGTAGGATTTCTGATACAAAAAACAACATCCAGTCAATAGCTCCTGTGATTTTAATGAACCAATGTAAATTCTTGGTAGATAACTTAAGAACTTCCCCTTCTTTTTTCCTTTAAAACTTCACTTGTAACGGCTGCTAATTGGAGCATGTATTCAGGGCAACTTTAATTTATTTCTCTCTGGCTGCAGTCCTCAAACCTTGCAGTCCTCGAAACTCTACTTACATTAAATCTTGCCTCAGTCTCGTCCTTTAGGTTGACAACAGCCACTTGGTTAAGCAGTCACCACATGACCCCACAGTCCCACTCCCAAGTATCTACCCAAGTGACATGGAGACCTATGCTTCATGTTGACATGTACAAAAATGACTAAATATGTATGTCTATAATGGTGTTAAACCAAGTTCAGCCTAAAGTTGCCTCCTTACATATTTCAGTTTGGCGGAAAGGTTTTTCTGCACATCATGAACTATAACAAGAGGAGGTGTAAACTGATCATAGCCCACACCTGCACCAATCACTGAGTTTTGGCCAATCAAATGTAGCCACTGTTCAAACCATGTTCAAATAAGGCAAACACTGAGCTGCAACCAATCCAGCTGTTTCTGTACCTCACTTTTGTTTTCTGTATTCCACCTTCCTTTTGCTGTCTATACATTTTCCTCCACCATGTGGCTGTGCTGGAGTCTCTCTGAATCTGCTGTGAATCTGGGGGCTGCCCGATTCATGAATCGTTCATTGCTCAATTAAACTCCTTTAAATTTAATTTGGCTTAAGTTTTTAACAATGCGATTATTCGTAATTGCCAAGCACTGGAAACAACTCAAATGTCCTTCATCAGGAGAATAAACTATGGTAGCTCCACACAATGAAAATGTGTTAAGCAATAAAAAGGAACAAACTCCCGGAACAAAGAGATGAATCTCAAATGCACGATGCTAAATGTCAGATGCCAGACTCAAAAGGCTGCACATTGTGTGATTTCACTGCAGACAAAAAATAAGATCCCAAACCCCCTGAACAGACTGAATGGACCCCCTCTTGGCCAAGAGGACCCCAGAAAAACCTGAAAAACTGTGTGCTTGGCCATAGCAGGAAGGAAAGTCACACATACCTTGCTATAACCCCTCCCTTTTAGAGTTTAGACACAACTGACCAGCACTAATGATAAAATAGAGACAAGAAGGCTGACAAAACAGACGCTTTACGGCAATAAGATACTCAATTATAAACAGAACCTAAGGCTAAGCATGGCAAGGCCACTGCTGCGGGAAGTCAGGGACCCTGAACAGAGAGACCGGCTGAAGCCGCAGCAGAACATAAACTGTGAGGATTTCATGGACATTGATTAGTTCCTCAAATTAATACTTTTATAATTTCTTACGCCTGTCTTTACTGCAATCTCTGAACATAAAGTGAAGATTTCATGGACACTTATCACTTCCCCAATCAATACCCTTGTGATTTCCTATGCCTGTCTTTACTTTAATCTCTTAATCCCACCATCTTCGTAAGCTGAGGAGGATGAATGTCACCTCAGGACCCTGTGATGATTGCATTAACTGCACAAATTGTTTGTAGAGTATGTGTGTTTGAACAATATGAAATCTGGGCATCTTGAAAAAAGAACAGGATAACAGCGATGTTCAGGGAACAAGGGAGGTAACCTTGAACTGACTGCCGGTGAGCCAGATGGAACAGAGTCATATTTCTCGTCTTTCAAATGCAAATAGTAGAAATACCCCTGAATTATTTTCCTCAGCAAGGAACATCCCTGAGAAAGAGAATGCACCCTGAGGGTAGGTCTATAGACGGCCCCCTTAAGGTGACCGCCTTTTACGGTTGAAGCTGAAGGGATGAAATAAGCCCCGGTCTCCTGTAGTGCTCCCAGGCTTATTAGGACGAGGAAATTCCTACCTAATAAATTCTGGTCAGACAGGTTGTCTGCTCTCAAACCCTGTCTCCTGATAAGATGTTATCAATAACAATGAGTGTCCGAAACTTCATTAGCAATTTTAATTTCGCCCCATCCTGTGGTCCTGTGATCTCGCCCTGCCTCCACTTGCTTTGTGATATTTTATTACCTTGTGAAGTATGTGATCTCTGTGACCCACACCCTATTCGTGCACTCCCTCCCGTTTTGAAAATCACTGATAAAAACTTGCTGGTTTTTACACGTGATGTCTCCTCCAGACACTCAGCTTTAAAATTTCTGTCTCTTGTACTCTTTCCCTTTATTTCTCAAACCAGCCAAGATGCTTAGGGAATAGAAAAGAACCCATGATAAATATCAGGGGTGGGGTTTTCCCCAATAGGCCACACCTGCAGACCATCAATCTCGCTACGTAGCATCCTTAACTTAAAACGTTGTGCTGACTCCAAGTTTTAGAAAGAGCCTTTAACCAACTGCAAATTACAGAGTCCCTGAATCCACCTATAACCTGTAAGCCTCCTCCTCCAGACATCCCACCTTTTTGGACCTAACCAATGTGTGTTTTCCACGTATTGATTTAAGTCTGCTGTAGTTCTCGTCTCCCTTAAACATATAAGACTAATCTGACGCCTCAGGCACACTTCGTCAGGACTCCTTGAGGTTGTGCTTCCCTGAGCCACGGTCCTGAAACTGACCCGACAGTCCCACAGGCAGTTTTTAGGATAAACACAGAAATTGAC